GGGGCGGTCGCCACGCACCGGCGGGACTGACAGTCGGCCGGGCGGTGGGGCCGGGGCCAGCCCGCGCACCTTCGTGGGGAGGAAGCGAGGTCCCCGGGAGGAAGGAGTGGATTTGGTTTCCCCGCAGTCTGGCTTACACGTAGAGAATGCAGCCATCTGGCGGCTTGCTGTCCCTGGACGTGCCCCGAAGGTGGGAAGGAAGCCTTTCGGATTGGACTAAGGTTTTAATCTTCGGTGGGAGGCGGGGAGGATCTGCCGGGCCTGAGGAGCAGTAGTCTTCGAGAACAAAGAATTAACAGAGCACCCACAAGTCGTAATCTTGCCCAAAGTACTGTAACAAGATAATTTAAACAAGGTTAGGTAGCATACGACCTTTAAAAAAAAAAAAAGCATCCCACTAACCCGCATGGACTCCACGGTGCCATGGTTCGTGCCACGAATCACTGGGGTGGTTTGGGCTTTCTTAGTATGGAAACTAATTGACAAAATAAAGTGGTAAGATAAACTGATCGATATAAGTGGCATTAATAAATAAGGGTTTTATTTGTAAAGTATTCAAAGTTTAACCAGAATTCCTTAAAAGGCAATTATTCCTTCCCCGCACTGCTCCTGTAGCTTAATTTAAGGATTCTATTGATGCAAAACTCTGGTTGTTGATGCCAAAGAATGGAGGGTGGAGGAAGGGTCTGCTGCTTTTCTTGGATACAAATTTGCATTTCTTCAAACATTAAACAGATGTATGCATTCCCTTGAGCTTTCACATATATCATAACCTGCCTTTAGGAAAATATATACCATATGAGGTGACAGTGTTTATCTTTAATATATTGAATCTAAATATATACTGAGTCAACTATTTGGGTGAGAGAGTGTGGTGAGGTGTGCCCCCCCCAAGCAAAATAAATATATATAGCTCCATTATTTTAAGTGTACTGAGGATTTTCTTTTTCAAAGACACCCTTAAAATGCTTCTAGCTACAAGGAAGGAATCATCTGGGCAGCTTTGGGGTTAGAAAGAGGACAATATTTAAAAAGAAATTAGACATTACTTTTAAGATTATAGCAGAGTGGACAATGTCAGCCAGTCTTTGCTGCCTGGACTGACATTTAAAAAATTCAATTCAGTGGCTACAGTTTTTTCTTCTGTTTACTAGATTTCATGCTTGAATGCATATCATTATTTTCTCTTCCTTTAAAATTAACACTGAAAGGATATGTTTTTGTTTTGCCCCTCCCCCCAATTTAATTGCTTCACTTGAAAAAAAAGGAAAAGAGCAAATGAGAAATGGAGATTGTAACATTGTAATTGATACCAATTTATTCAGCTATTTATGCCTTACAGTGAAAATGAAGTGCTATTCAGATGCAATTTTAGTCCAAAATGGTGGTGCTTTAAAATGGTAAATAAAGGTCCTAATTTATTGTGTTCCATGTATGTTCTCTGGGCAGTGTGTATCTTTTCAGTATAATCCGAGGTGTTTAATTTAAAAGCATTGTATTCTGAGATATTCTTCTCCCTCTCTTTTGAGCTTTTGGACTCCTAAATCTCACTCTAAAACATTAAGAAAATCATCACTGAAAAATTAAGTTGGGGTGTTTGTGTCTTGGGTGTTAATATTTTGAATAATTTGGATGTGTAAATTTTGGTCTCGTGCATATAATTTGGGGTGTTGTGATGAATATTTATGGTGAACATGAATAAATTCAGGGTTATGTTAGGAAAGCAGCTCCTCCCTGCCATAGAATTAACTTTTTTTTGCAAGGTCTCCAAAATATATCTGCCAATTTAAGAAACCTTTATTGGGCGCCTGCTTTTTTGCACTCTGTTGAATAAGAACAGTAGGTGAAATTATACACGCCTTTTAAATTTTTACTAGGAAGAAAGCCTGTAGGCAATACGTTGTTACTACTAATAGATGTTTATCTTCTAGGTTGAAGTTGGGCAAAGATCAGACCCCTTTTTAGAAAGGTGTTCTGAACACCACTGACAATACGGTTCTGACAGTGTTTCATGACAGTAAGTATGTCTTACCATTTTGGTTGTTAATTAGATTTGAACAGTAATTAGGAAACAAAATTATACCTAATGTATATTGGAGATCCCGAGTAGAATGAATGCCCTTCAAGTCTAGACAGATAGTACCTCCATTCACTCATTCCTGTTGCTTCTTTCTTTTTAGTGACTTGCATGTATTGTTTCCTGTGGGCCCCTAAGTGCTGTGGAGGCTACAAGATAAAAAGCCTGTCCCAGCTCTTAAGAGGCTGTCTGTTTTGCTAGAAGGGCTTCAGTCGAACTGAATGCTTAGAAGACAATTCTGCAGGGAATGGGAAATGCTGGTTCTAAGGGTGGCAGAGATGAAAAGACCAGTGGTGTGGTAGGCCTGGGTAGTTGCGAATGTCGTGGACTTAGCCTTGAAGGATGAGTGGGATTTGGGTAGGTGGAGGGTATCACCGAAAGCAAAAGCCTGAAGGCAGGGATGAGTAACTTGTTTAGGGGAGGGGGAGTAGATCTGCATCGTCCAAGTGGAGATTTCATAGGCTAATTTAGTGAGAGATACCACTTTTCCTGTCTGGATGCTTAGTTCTGGATCTGCTACTGTATTTGTGATGTCAGGCATGTTACAACTTCCTTGAGCCATGACTCATGCCTCAGTCCTAAAATAAAAAAGCTATACCTGGTGATCCTTAAATAAGGCACATTCTAGCACTAAGATTTTTATTAGCCCTGAAGATAGAGTTGGAAACAAGTTTAGTTAGGTTAAGTGGGGGATCCACTCGTGAAAAGCCAAGGAAAAACTAGGTTTGGATTTGATGCTAAAGACTTTTAGAACCATTCCAGGTTTAGGAGCTATAAAAATGGTGTTTGAGTGAGATCCATCTTAAAACAGTCTGTACCCTGGTAGGTTGGGTAGTAATGCAGTGGCAGTAGAGAAAGGAAGGGCATATCCAGGCAACTTATTAAAAGAGGGAACAGCTTAGGTGGAACTTGGAGGAGATAGAAGAATCTAAGATGACACTGGTATAATGAGCCTGGGAGGGTGGGATCACAGGAGCTGGAAAGCAGATGAGGAGCTCTCATCCACTGCCTCCTTGCAGGACATGGGGAGGGTGAGTTTCATTTTCCAGAATTTTAAGCTGACAGTGATGGGACATCAGACATGTTCCACAGGCATGGCTCGTTGGAGTGGCAGGCAGGATATGGTTGTAGATTTAGGACTTCTAAGCATAGAAGTGGTATTTAACGAGTTCATTAAGAGAGTGAGGGAAGAAAGGAAAGGATAACCTTGGATGAAACTAACAACTGGGAGGTGGGGAGGAAAAAATAAACCAGGAAAGGATATCGCTTTGGAAATCAGGGGAGAAGAGAGTTTCATGCAGTGGCCGGCACTATCAAGAACAGCCAAGTAGGAATGAAGGCAAGATTATTGGCAACTTCCAAGAGCGGTTTCAGTATCCTGGTGGGGTGGAGAAGCACCTGCCAGGGAGTTGAAATAGGAATGGAGAGATGTGTGAGGACTGTCAGGGTGACAGTGATAGCTAGCCAAGGGTGTGGAGCAGAATTACGGTTTTATGGGTCTGTGTGTACTTCTGTGTGTTCAGTGAGGGAGCCTAAGCATGTTGAAGAAAGAGTGAAGCAGCTGGTCAGGGAGGGCTGAAGATCCATTAGAGGTGAGGATTCTTTGTGTTACTTCTTATCCTCAAAGAGATAAAAAGGAATTGGTCCAGAGAACAGGTGAAAGGGGTTATGCAAGAGAGAAAACCATGCCTGGAAAGAAGGGTGAGAACTGTATTTGAAGGGACAAAAATAATACTAGGTTACATTTGTTGAGTTCTTATTATGTATCGTACACTTTGCTAAGTGCTTTTTATATAACTTCACTTCTCATAGCAACTCCATTTTAAAAAACCCCAAATGGTCTGTCCTAAGGGCCTGTGCTCCTGATCCTGAACCCCAAACCAGGTGCATTGCTTACATCCCACAGATACTGTCCTGGCTTGAGAAGCAACTTTGAATGTTTTTTGTTTTTTTTTTTTGTTTTTTTTATTTGAGACAGAACGAGAGAGAGAGCACATGAGAGGGGGGAGGGTCAGAGGGAGAAGCAGGTTCCTTGCTGAGCAGGGAGCCCGATGCGGGACTCGATCCAGGGACTCC